CTCTCTAGCTGCTCCACCATCTCTGGTCTCTCTCCCTAACCCCCCTCTCTCTGGTCTCTCTCTCTCTCTAGCTGCTCCACCATCTCTGGTCTCTCTCTCTCTCTAACCCCCCCTCTCTCTGGTCTCTCTCTCTCTCTAGCTGCTCCACCATCTCTGGTCTCTCTCCCTAACCCCCCTCTCTCTGGTCTCTCTCTCTCTCTCTAGCTGCCCTTCCCTCTCTGGTCTCTCTCTCTCTCTAACCCCTCCTCTCTCTGGTCTCTCTCTCTCTCTCTAGCTGCCCATCCCTCTCTGGTCTCTCTCTTTCTCTAACCCCCCCTCTCTCTGGTCTCTCTCTCTCTCTAGCTGCCCTTCCCTCTCTGGTCTCTCTCTCTCTCTAACCCCTCCTCTCTCTGGTCTCTCTCTCTCTCTCTAGCTGCCCATCCCTCTCTGGTCTCTCTCTCTCTCTAACCCCCCCTCTCTCTGGTCTCTCTCTCTCCTAACCCCCCCTCTCTCTGGTCTCTCTTCTCTAGCTGCTCCACCATCTCTGGTCTCTCTCTCTCTCTAACCCCCTCTCTCTCTGGTCTCTCTCTCTCTAACCCCCCCTCTCTCTGGTCTCTCTCTCTCTAACCCCCCCTCTCTCTGGTCTCTCTCTCTCTCTAACCCCCCCTCTCTCTGGTCTCTCTCTCTCTCTAACCCCCCCTCTCTCTGGTCTCTCTCTCTCTCTAGCTGCTCCACCATCTCTGGTCTCTCTCTCTCTCTAACCCCCCCTCTCTCTGGTCTCTCTCTCTCTAACCCCCCCTCTCTCTGGTCTCTCTCTCTCTCTAACCCCCCCTCTCTCTGGTCTCTCTCTCTCTAACCCCCCCTCTCTCTGGTCTCTCTCTCTCTCTAACCCCCCTCTCTCTGGTCTCTCTCTCTCTAACCCCCCCTCTCTCTGGTCTCTCTCTCTCTAACCCCCCCTCTCTCTGATCTCTCTCTCTCTCTAACCCCCCTCTCTCTGATCTCTCTCTCTCTCTAACCCCCCCTCTCTCTGGTCTCTCTCACACACACATTTTCATTCTTCTGGTGTAAACTTCGGCACCAGGACTTGGGTCTTTCTCGCAGTTGGAGCCTTCAAAACCAGGTCAGCGTTTTGGAGAAGCGCCTAAAGACAAGCGCCGGAGGTCAAGGAGCGCCTGGAGAACCGGTGGAGGTTAATGGGACAAAACAGGGGCCGCTCAGAGGACAGACCTGGACATTTATCTTCTACCTGCTCGCGGCTCATTTCTCCCTCCACTTTGGAATGCCTGGCTGCAGCTGCTAAGAGCTCATGTCACAAAGATAAACAGCGGATATAGTTTCACTTTCTTGTTTCAACATTGAAGAGATGGATTCTGTGTTTAAGAAGATGTGGTGTTTATGGCAACTTTCCAACAGTCTTAAGTTATGGATTCAGAGCAAAAGGAGAAAAACTGGATGTCATTAATCACTGATGATAGTAAATTAAATCTGGGGTAACTTTTCAAACCAGAAAAAAATGTATGTGAGGAATTCAATCTGAAGAGACCAAGACAGAAACATTAATGCATGAAAAAGAATGTGTTTTATTTATTTTTATTTTGAACCTGCACAATACATTTTTTTACATACAGTATATCAATATAACAGACATATAACCCGTACCTGATTCGAAAAGGAGTTGGGTGAAGCAAGTGCTGCTTTGGTTCCAACCCCATCAAGCTAAGTGTTTGCTGCTGTAGATGATCTCAGATGAGCTCAAGCACTGGTGGTGGCTGGAAGCATGGTGTGAATGGGGCGTAGGCGGAGCAGGAGCCAGGGCAGGAGCCAGAGAAAGAGCCGGAGCCAGAGCAGGAGCCAGAACAGGAGCCAAAGCAGGAGCCAGTGTAGGACCCAGAGTAGGAGCTAGAGAAGGAGCCAGAGCAAGCGCAGGAGCCAGAGAAAGAGAAGGAGCCAGAGCAGGAGCCAGAGCAGGAGCTAGTGTAGAAGCCAGAACAGGAGCCAGAGCAGGAGCCAGTGTAGAAGCCAGAGCAGGAGCCAGAGCAGGAGCCAGAGCAGGAGCCAGAGCAGGAGCCAGAGCAGGAGCCAGTGTAGGTGCCAGAGCAGGAGCAGGAGCCAGAGCAGGAGCCAGTGCAGGAGCCAGAGCAGGAGCCAGAGCAGGAGCCAGAGCAGGAGCCAGAGCAGGAGCCAGAGCAGGAGCTAGGACAGGAGCCAGAGCAGGAGCCAGAGCAGGAGCCAGAGCAGGAGCCAGAGCAGGAGCCAGAGCAGGAGCCAGTGCAGGAGCCAGAGCGGGAGCCAGAGCAGGAGCCAGAGCGGGAGCCAGAGCAGGAGCCAGAGCAGGAGCCAGAGCGGGAGCCAGAGCAGGAGCCAGAGCAGGAGCCAGTGTAGGAGCCAGAGCGGGAGCCAGAGCAGGAGCCAGAGCAGGAGCCAGTGCAGGAGCCAGTGCAGGAGCCAGAGTAGGAGCCACGGCAGGAGCCAAAGCAGGAGCCAGAGCAGGAGCCAGTGGGAGCCAGAGAAGGAGCCAGAGCAGGAGCCAGTGGGAGCCAGAGCAGGAGCCCGTGTAGGAGCCAGATCCGGAGCCAGAGCAGGAGCCAGAGCAGGAGCCAGAGCAGGAGCCAGAGCAGGAGCCAGTGCAGGAGCCAGAGCAGGAGCTAGTGCAGGAGCCAGAGCAGGAGCCACAGCAGGAGCCAAAGCAGGAGCCAGAGCAGGAGCCAGAGCAGGAGCCGGAGCAGGAGCCAGAGCATGAGCCAGTGTAGGAGCCAAAGCAGGAGCCATAGCAGGAGCCATAGCAGGAGCCAGAGCAGGAGCCAGTGTAGGAGCCAAAGCAGGAGCCATAGCAGGAGCCAGAGCAGGAGCCACGGCAGGAGCCAAAGCAGGAGCCAGAGCAGGAGCCAGAGCAGGAGCCAGAGCAGGAGCCGGAGCAGGAGCCAGAGCATGAGCCAGTGTAGGAGCCAAAGCAGGAGCCATAGCAGGAGCCATAGCAGGACCCAGAGCAGGAGCCAGTGTAGGAGCCAAAGCAGGAGCCATAGCAGGAGCCAGAGCAGGAGCCAGTGTAGGAGCCAGAGCAGGAGCCAGAGCAGGAGTCAGAGCAGGTGCCAGATCACGAGCCAGAGCAGGAGCCAGAGCAGGAGCCAGAGCAGGAGCCAGTGCAGGAGTCAGAGCAGGGGCCAGAGCAGGAGCCAGTGTAGGAGCCAAAGCAGGAGCCATAGCAGGAGCCAGAGCAGGAGCCAGTGTAGGATCCAGAGCAGGGGCCAGAGCAGGAGTCAGAGCAGGGGCCAGAGCAGGAGCCAGTGTAGGAGCCAAAGCAGGAGCCAGAGCAGGAGCCAGAGCAGGAGCCAGAGCAGGAGTCAGAGCAGGGGCCAGAGCAGGAGCCAGAGCAGGAGTCAGAGCAGGGGCCAGAGCAGGAGCCAGAGCAGGGGCCAGAGCAGGGGCCAGAGCAGGAGCCAGAGCAGGAGCCAGTGCAGGAGCCAGAGCCGGAGCAGGAGCCAGAGCAGGAGCCAGAGCAGGGGCCAGTGTAGGAGCCAGAGCAGGAGCCAGTGTAGGAGCCAAAGCAGGAGCCAGAGCAGGAGCCAGAGCAGGAGCCAGTGTAGGAGCCAAAGCAGGAGCCAGAGCAGGGGCCAGAGCAGGAGCCAGTGTAGGAGCCAGAGCAGGAGCCAGTGTAGGAGCCAGAGCAGGAGCCAGAGCAGGAGCCAGAGCAGGAGCCAGAGCAGGAGCCAGAGCAGGGGCCAGAGCAGGAGCCAGAGCAGGAGCCAGAGCAGGAGCCAAAGCAGGAGCCAGAGCAGGGGCCAGAGCAGGAGCCAGTGTAGGAGCCAGAGCAGGAGCCAGTGTAGGAGCCAGTGTAGGAGCCAGAGCAGGAGCCAGAGCAGGAGCCAGAGCAGGAGCCAGAGCAGGAGCCAGAGCAGGAGCCAGAGCAGGGGCCAGAGCAGGAGCCAGAGCAGGAGCCAGAGCAGGAGCCAGAGCAGGAGCCAGAGCAGGGGCCAGAGCAGGAGCCAGAGCAGGAGCCAGAGCAGGAGCCAGAGCAGGAGCCAGAGCAGGAGCCAGAGCAGGAGCCAGAGCAGGAGCCAGAGCAGGTGCTGGGGAGTCTGTAGGTGTTTTAAACTGCCGCTTTGCAGTCAGAGGGTTTTCACGGGGCTGGCCGAGGGGTGTGATTGTTTTGACTGGAGCAATGTGTAGTCAAACATAACTTCCTCTTTGTCTTTTTAAGTACTAACTGTCTCTCTGTTGTCAGAAATAGAAAAAACAATTGTTAAAAGCAAGTGACTTTGTTTATCTAAAAGAATAGTGTGACATTTCATCGCACTGACGCTTTTCAAAACATAATCTGTGTCCGCTCAATCTCAAACCAACAAAATGACGTGGCTCGAAAACAAAAGTGGACCCAAAGCCGAACCCTGTGGAGCCCCTGCACATCCAACTCTCCCACACATGTTGTTTATGGTTGATTTTATAATAAATAAGAAAAGGTGCAGCCCACGGAGGAAACCCCAGAGCCACAGAGGAAGTATGCAGTAACAGACAACCAGCCGCCCACGTCTGAAGCAGGACCTTCTCTGAAACGGCGTGATATTATAAGAACAATGGAACAAACCCACGCTGTCTCTGCCATCAAATGTAAAACTCTATTATTGTGTCTTGTTCACATTTAAAGCTTTTAAGGTTTGTATAAGAGAAAGGCCCTCAAAGGAGCAGTGCGTTGCGACACCCCCCCCCACCCCCCCCCTCCCGCGTCCGCCCAGCAACGCCCCCCCAGGGTGAAGCCAGAGCAGCTACAAGCCCTCTTCGGGACTGTCCTGCCCTACCGTCTGACATGGCCCCCTGACTGCACTCTTTCTCCCGCTACGTCACACTCTAGGTGTTACACACACGCTCCTAAGGCCCAGGGGCCAGATCCTGCGCGCCAAACTAAGCACCGACACACACTTTCCAGCTCCAGAGCCACCCTCCCGAGAATTATTTTAAATTATTCTTCACTCTCAAACACGCCCAGCTCTGTGATCGCGTCGCCTGCCTCGCCGCCTCGCGCTCACCTCAGCGCGCACGTCGCCGTTCTCGCCATCATGACTCAAGCCCCCCCCCCCCCCTTTCCGTCTCGTGCACTCACACATCGGCGCAACTCCTAGGACTGTCCTCTGCTTGCTCGCCTTATGGCCTTCACATCCACCATTTCTTCTTACTAAGTATCCCTCTCGAAGCCGAGGCATTTTCCCAACCTTGCTTAGCCGAAATACCGACCCCCGCATAACCCCTTTTTGACAACAAAATCGCTCTGGTCTTATTTGCAACGAGCACCTCACGGACACCCCCCCTCCCCCCCCATCACACAGAACATGATTGACCAATACGCTCTGGATCACTGGATCCACCTGGAAGTACGAATCCCTTCCTCCTATTCGCCCCTCGTCAATATTTGCGTCCAGCTTTTGGTTCAGTCGTTGGTCCGGACTAGCCTCCACAGCCGAACCTGAACTCAATTTATAATCAGCAAACTAATTATCCAAGATCTAACTAATGTGAAACATACGCCCTCATTTAAATACGATACCTTCCTATTATAAAAATGTATAATAAATGGCAAATCACCCACTTATTTTCTTTTCTTTTGGCCCCGGACCGACACCTTTCATTTTCGTATATGCCGCCCCCCCTCCCACACCAAATATAAGTTTCCTCGACCCCCCTGTGCCTAGACCCATAAGACCCACACCTCCGCATACAATGCCCTTACAAGGATCAGACGAAACACAAACACACACTACCCTCCCCCACACTCCGCAAAACCCTAACTTCAATCTCGTACCATTCAGATATCAAAGTTTCTATTTCTAACTCCTAGATCCTTTTCCCTCCCCCAGTCCTCACCCGTGCATTATTACTTATTTATTTGTTAATTTAATTTAAAGCTTGGCGATATCACTCAGGGTTTTCTTTGAATTGAACTCTCTCTGTTCAAGTAAGCCTCACTTTTGACATTTTGACGTGTAGAGTGTTAAATGAGACAGGTCTGAAATGGGGCAAAGCAGCACGGTGGCTGAGTGGTTAGCACCTTCACCTCTCAACTTCAAGATTGTGAGTTTGACTCCTGGTCGGAGCAAAATTAAAAATGTATTGCAATCGCTTGAGTTACTTGGTAATATCAAGTAAGGGATGTACTCGAGTAATTCAAGTGAAGTTAATATGCAATTTATTTCCAAGGTTTTTTCAAGTAAACTTTACTTGTTAGGGTTTACAGTGAAAGACACAATGGATTTAAATACATGTAAATAGTTAACCAAAAACTAAACAATGCTCTCGCTTCCTCTTGGCACAATGGTTAACATACTGCCCCCCCGCCTTCGCCCAGAGCGGCCGGAGCCGAGGGGGAATACAACACAACCATTCCAGTTGACACATATGTATTTTAGCCAGATATGACTTATTAAAATTATAACTTAAACAACATCTTTGGCCTGAGGAGGATGTTTTTTTTTCTTCCGCTGCAGGTCACGTGTGTCTTGTCATAAAGGTCCATTGCCCCCTACTGGCTGCAAGCTAGAACTGCATTGTTTTCTGTAGTCATCTAAATGCTGTGCACTTGAATAAGGAGCCGAGTCGATTTTGTGCAGTTGCTTTGTTGCGTCTTTGTCGAAACCTCAGAGCAGCATTTCCAGACAGAGAAGTGGAAAAGAGAGGACCAGCCTCACTCAGCCAATCAGTTCGCAGCCCAAATATCCAAAGCTTTAGTATGGAACGCAGTCAGCACAAGGCTAGACCAGTATCCGAGGCCTCTCCATCCCATAACGACGGCACTAATAATGCGTCCCTGTCCCCAGAGACCGACTCGTGCATCCAGACTTTTCACACTTCCGTGGTGTTCTCGCTCGGACTCCCCTGTGAGCCGTGGAAACACCAGAGCAAGAGCGACACCGCAGCTTTGGAAACAGCAAAGAGAACAACATACTCCGACAGAGCAGCCACTTAGCCGCTACGCAAGGTGTGAGAACATTTCAAGTTTTCAAGGCAATTCAAAGTGCTTCACAAAGAGCAATTAACCAGAAGAAAATGTGTTAAAGACAGATATAAAAGGCCACACGGATACATACAATACACAACCATTTCAACAGTATTGGGCTTAAAACTCTGAATAAAATGGGGGTTTGACAAGAGATAAATAGTTCAAAAATAATCAGTTATATGCAGCTAAACAGATGTGTTAGTGACCTATTTTTAAACATGGTCAGGGTAGAGGTCTGTCTCACAACTTCAGGAAGACTGTTCTGTATTCTAGCTGCATGAATCTGAAATGCTGCCTCCTCATGTTTTGTCCTGACTCTGGGTACCTGTGGGAGGCCTGTCCCTGTGCTCCTCAGAGTCCCAGCAGGTGGCCAGTCCCTGTGCTCCTCACTCAGACTCCAAATTGATTCATACGACATAATTTTGTTTGAGTACAGTCCGATTTTTTGCTCTTTTGGCTGAAAATAAGTGACAAACAGATTTATAGATAAATATTGAGGGATTTTATCTTCACTCTTTTTAATATCCTGTGATTATTTAAGATTTGAATGCCTTGAGTGACCGTCTGTATCTGGTTTTGTTCAGCACTTTGAGTTACCTTGTGTGTATGTATTGTGCTATACATATAAACTTGCCTCACCTTGCTTTGCCTATTGTCTATTTTGGATCCTGTTTGTTTTCCATCTCACATGCACTCGTTCCTTTGTAAACTATAACTCTGTAAACTCCCCCACCTCTTCATCCTAGTGTGTGACCAGTGTGAAAGAAGCCTGCGTCCTCTCCCTCCTGCTGAGCTCCCACACACAGCGCCCCCTGCTGGGACTTCAGCCCCACACATCACGGTCCTTATCCCTGAGCTCAGGACGGCACACTCTGTGAACGCTCCCTTTGATTAATTACCAATACACAGAGCTGCTCCATTTCCTGCATGTGGGTCACGCTGTACCCACCGAAAGCATTAGGCGGCGAAAAGAAACCGCCCGAGAAGTGGAGGAGTTTGATTTTTAGAGTTTACTGGAGAAATGCATTATGAATAAAGTTGCACCTGGATTCGGAGTAAAATCTTTGGTCCTAAAAGTGTTTTCTTCGGCGTCAGCGTCTGCAGGGTTAGGAGTAAACAGGCGAGACACAAGATGCAGGTCCTATAAAAGTTTCATTGGTTGTTTTTAGTGGAGCCTAAATTAATCAGTTCTGTGTGTATTCGTCAAACTGAAATGACTTCTTCTACTGTTTCTTCTACTGTGACGATGTTCAGATCCAGGTTAAAAACACCTCATTTGCGTCCACACTTCATTCTTTCGGGCCAAAAGAATGTTTCTTTTAAATATCCTTTATTTGGGCGATTTGTCAACTTTAATGACTGATGGTCCCATAACTCCAACGCCCTGTACATAACTCCACCGCTGTCAGACTGTTGTTGGTGTGGCCTTTAGTAGAGAGTGACTCCAGGTGGGGAAGCTGGATGGGCCAGGTTCACCGCTGCTCCTCCAATCAGCACCTGAGTCAGAGATGTCTGGGAGGCGGGAGAGCCAGTTGTTCACCAATCACAGGCCAGGGATCTCAAAGAAGGAGGGGTTGCCACACAAACACACACACAAAAACACACAGGGGGCAATTTACAGGCCCAGGGCCGTAACAGTGCTGTTGGTGGTGTTGGTGGTGTTGATGTGTCGGTGGTGTTGGTGGTGTGGGTGGTGTTGGTGCTGTGGGTGCTATTGGTGGTGTGGGTGGTGTTGGTGGTGTGGGTGGTGTTGGTGCTGTTGGTGCTGTTGGTGGTGTGGGTGGTGTAGGTGGTGTTGGTGGTGTTGGTGGTGTGGGTGCTGTTGGTGGTGTGGGTGGTGTTGGTGGTGTTGGTGGTGTTGGTGCTGTGGGTGGTGTTGGTGCTGTTGGTGCTGTTGGTGGTGTGGGTGGTGTTGGTGGTGTGGGTGGTGTTGGTGCTGTTGGTGGTGTTGGTGGTGTGGGTGGTGTAGGGGGTGTAGGTGGTGTTGGTGGTGTGGGTGGTGTAGGTGGTGTTGGTGCTGTTGGTGGTGTGGGTGGTGTTGGTGGTGTGGGTGGTGTTGGTGGTGTTGGTGGTGTGGGTGGTGTTGGTGCTGTTGGTGGTGTGGGTGGTGTTGGTGGTGTGGGTGGTGTTGGTGGTGTTGGTGGTGTTGGTGGTGTGGGTGGTGTTGGTGCTGTTGGTGGTGTGGGTGGTGTAGGTGGTGTAGGTGGTGTTGATGGTGTGGGTGGTGTTGGTGCTGTGGGTGGTGTTGGTGCTGTTGGTGCTGTTGGTGGTGTTGGTGGTGTTGATGGTGTTGGTGGTGTGGGTGGTGTTGGTGCTGTGGGTGGTGTTGGTGGTGTTGGTGGTGTTGGTGGTGTGGGTGGTGTTGGTGGTGTTGGTGGTGAAGGTGGTGTCGGTGCTGTGGGTGGTGTTGGTGGTATTGGTGGTGTGGGTGGTGTTGGTGGTGTTGGTGGTGTTGGTGCTGTTGGTGCTGTTGGTGGTGTTGGTGCTGTTGGTGCTGTTGGTGGTGTGCGTGGTGTAGGTGGTGTAGGTGGTGTTGGTGGTGTGGGTGGTGTGGGTGGTGTTGGTGGTGTGGGTGGTGTTGGTGGTGTGGGTGGTGTTGGTGGTGTTGGTGGTGTTGGTGGTGTGGATGGTGTTGGTGCTGTTGGTGGTGTGGGTGGTGTTGGTGCTGTTGGTGGTGTGGGTGGTGTAGGTGGTGTTGATGGTGTTGGTGGTGTGGGTGGTGTTGGTGCTGTGGGTGGTGTTGGTGCTGTTGGTGCTGTGGGTGGTGTTGGTGGTGTTGGTGGTGTTGATGGTGTTGGTGGTGTGGGTGGTGTTGGTGCTGTGGGTGGTGTTGGTGGTGTTGGTGGTGTTGGTGGTGTGGGTGGTGTCGGTGGTGTTGGTGGTGTTGGTGGTGTTGGTGGTGTGGGTGGTGTTGGTGGTGTTGGTGGTGTGGGTGGTGTTGGTGGTATTGGTGGTGTGGGTGGTGTTGGTGCTGTTGGTGGTGTTGGTGCTGTTGGTGGTGTTGGTGGTGTTGGTGCTGTTGGTGCTGTTGGTGGTGTGGGTGGTGTAGGTGGTGTAGGTGGTGTGGGTGGTGTTGGTGGTGTGGGTGGTGTTGGTGCTGTTGGTGCTGTTGGTGGTGTGGGTGGTGTAGGTGGTGTAGGTGGTGTTGGTGGTGTGGGTGGTGTTGGTGCTGTGGGTGGTGTTGGTGCTGATGGTGGTGTGGGTGGTGTTGGTGTTGTTGGTGGTGTTGGTGGTGTTGATGGTGTTGGTGGTGTGGGTGGTGTAGGTGCTGTGGGTGGTGTTGGTGGTGTGGGTGGTGTTGGTGCTGTGGGTGCTGTTGGTGCTGTTGCTGCTGTGGGTGGTGTTGGTGGTATTGGTGGTGTGGGTGGTGTTGGTGGTGTTGGTGGTGTGGGTGGTGTTGGTGGTGTTGGTGGTGTTGGTGCTGTTGGTGCTGTTGGTGGTGTGGGTGGTGTTGGTGGTGTTGGTGGTGTTGGTGGTGTGGGTGGTGTTGGTGGTGTGGGTGGTGTTGGTGGTGTTGGTGGTGTGGGTGGTGTTGGTGCTGTTGGTGGTGTGGGTGGTGTGGGTGGTGTTGGTGGTGTTGGTGGTGTTGATGGTGTTGGTGGTGTTGGTGGTGTTGGTGGTGTGGGTGTTGGGGTGGTGTGGGTGGTGTGGTGGGTGGTGTGTGGTGGTGTGGTGTGTGGTGGTGTGTGTGGTGTGGTGTGTGGTGGTGTTGGTGGTGTTGGTGGTGTGGTGGTGTGTGGTGTGTGTGGTGTGGTGTGTGGTGTGTGGTGTGTGTTGGTGGTGTGTGTGGTGTGTGTGGTGTGGTGGTGGTGTGTTGGTGGTGTGGGTGGTGTTGGTGCTGTGGGTGGTGTTGGTTGTGTGAGTGGTGTTGGTGGTGTTGATGGTGTGGGTGGTGTTGGTGGTGTGGGTGGTGTTGGTGGTGTTGATGGTGTTGGTGGTGTGGGTGGTGTTGATGGTGTTGGTGGTGTTGGTGGTGTAGGTGGTGTGGTTGGTGTTGGTGGTGTTGGTGGTGTTGATGGTGTAGGTGGTGTTGGTGGTGTGGGTGGTGTGGGTGGTGTTGGTGGTGTTGTTGGTGTTGGTGGTGTTGATGGTGTTGGTGGTGTTGGTGGTGTGGGTGGTGTGGGTGGTGTCGGTGGTGTTGGTGGTGTTGGTGGTGTTGGTGGTGTAGGTGGTGTGGTTGGTGTTGGTGGTGTTGATGGTGAAGGTGGTGTTGGTGGTGTAGGTGGTGTAGGTGGTGTTGGTGGTGTAGGTGGTGTGGGTGGTGTTGGTGGTGTAGGTGGTGTAGGTGGTGTGGGTGGTGTAGGTGGTGTTGGTGGGGTTGGTGGTGTTGGTGGTGTAGGTGGTGTTGGTGGTGTAGGTGGTGTTGGTGGTGTTGGTGGTGTGGGTGGTGTGGGTGGTGTTGGTGGTGTGGGTGGTGTGGGTGCTGTGGGTGGTGTTGGTGCTGTTGGTGGTGTTGGTGGTGTTGGTGGTGTTGATGGTGTTGGTGGTGTGGGTGGTGTTGGTGCTGTGGGTGGTGTTGGTGGTGTTGGTGGTGTTGGTGGTGTTGGTGGTGTGGGTGGTGTTGGTGGTGTTGGTGGTGTTGGTGGTGAAGGTGGTGTCGGTGCTGTGGGTGGTGTTGGTGGTATTGGTGGTGTGGGTGGTGTTGGTGGTGTTGGTGGTGTTGGTGCTGTTGGTGCTGTTGGTACTGTTGGTGGTGTGCGTGGTGTAGGTGGTGTAGGTGGTGTTGGTGGTGTGGGTGGTGTTGGTGGTGTTGGTGGTGTGGGTGGTGTTGGTGCTGTTGGTGGTGTGGGTGGTGTTGGTGGTGTGGGTGGTGTAGGTGGTGTTGATGGTGTTGGTGGTGTGGGTGGTGTTGGTGCTGTGGGTGGTGTTGGTGCTGTGGGTGGTGTTGGTGGTGTTGATGGTGTTGGTGGTGTGGGTGGTGTTGGTGCTGTGGGTGGTGTTGGTGGTGTTGGTGGTGTTGGTGGTGTGGGTGGTGTCGGTGGTGTTGGTGGTGTTGGTGGTGTTGGTGGTGTGGGTGGTGTTGGTGGTGTTGGTGGTGTGGGTGGTGTTGGTGGTATTGGTGGTGTGGGTGGTGTTGGTGCTGTTGGTGATGTTGGTGCTGTTGGTGGTGTTGGTGGTGTTGGTGCTGTTGGTGCTGTTGGTGGTGTGGGTGGTGTAGGTGGTGTAGGTGGTGTGGGTGGTGTTGGTGGTGTGGGTGGTGTTGGTGCTGTTGGTGCTGTTGGTGGTGTGGGTGGTGTAGGTGGTGTTGGTGGTGTGGGTGGTGTTGGTGCTGTGGGTGGTGTTGGTGCTGATGGTGGTGTGGGTGGTGTTGGTGTTGTTGGTGGTGTTGGTGGTGTTGATGGTGTTGGTGGTGTGGGTGGTGTAGGTGCTGTGGGTGGTGTTGGTGATGTTGGTGGTGTTGGTGGTGTGGGTGGTGTGGGTGGCGTAGGTGGTGTTGGTGGTGTAGGTGGTGTTGGTGGTGTTGGTGGTGTAGGTGGTGTAGGTGGTGTGGGTGGCGTAGGTGGTGTTGGTGGGGTTGGTGGTGTTGGTGGTGTAGGTGGTGTTGGTGGTGTAGGTGGTGTTGGTGGTGTAGGTGGTGTTGGTGGTGTTGGTGGTGTTGGTGGTGTGGGTGGTGTGGGTGGTGTTGGTGGTGTAGGTGGTGTAGGTGGTGTTGGTGCTGGTCACAGTCGCTCAGAGACAGAGACAGAACAGTTCCATCTGTGTGATATAATAAACGTCTCCGTGCTCCAGCTCTGGCTAAAGACATAACAATAACAATCCGCCGATGGCTTCGATCCCAAATCTGAGGAAGGCTTTAGTTTCCAGAGTTCGGTTACTTTCACATCCGTGGTGAAGGTCTCGGATCAGACCAAATGTTTTACCATATTTCAGGTTTTTATTTGTAGTTTCTTGTCCCTGTGTCTTTCATAGACCTACTTCCTGTTGTGTGATGACCGCCCGAGTCCAGGCCCTCGGAGCTGGGCAGACTTTCAGACATTAGGGCTAGAGTGTCACTTTTTCTGCCTGAAAACATGGATCTAATTCTTAATTTGATAATAATAATAATGGTAATTATTAGTAGCCAGCTCTGCGAGGGAGAGGAGGACACAAAACACAAGCTGTTGATCAAAAAATGAGTCATTTAATAAAAGCATGTGGTAAGAATGCTGAGGCAAAATTAAAACTGTGTCTTTAAAGTCAGGTGTCAAGTGTTTTTACTCTGCGTTATAAAAGGGGATATCTTCAGTAAATATTGGGATCTTTCTGAACGTTTCTGTCTGACTGGGAGATCATCAACTGAATGTCTGTAAAATGGATAAGTCCAGTATCTTCAAGTCAAAAGGCCAAAAGTCCTGGTTCTTCACCTGGAGAGGTTCAGGGCAAGATCAGAAAACTCCTATTCAGTAATAAATAACTTAGGGCCACAGTAATAGTTTACATTTTATTAGATTTCATTGGGCAAAAAATTGTAACATAGATAAAAAGATACTTTATAGATCCCTGTTGGAGAAATGCAGGTGTCCAGAAGCAGCAGAAACATCCATCCACACAAACAAAACAAATAAATATATCATTCTAAAAAATATACATAATTTATTATATGACTTGGGTCGTACGCAGCTCTGATTGGTTGATTTGCGGTCTGATATTTTCCCATATCGGACCGTTACCATGACAATTGGTCCACAGCACGTATCAAATCTGATATCTTCCCTCAGTAAAAAAAAGAATGAGCAACGACTTCAAAGAGCCAGAGGAAGTAATAACAGCAAATAACGACGAAAACAACTCAAACAGTCAAGATGAGATCGACAACTTTGTTACAGACCAGAAAGGTAAAAACAGGATCAGGAAAACCAAGTCGGAGATTGATATTTGCATAAATGAAAAATAGTCATAATAAAACATTTATTAACCTCGCTTGCTCGGTTAATAAGCCGTTAATACTTTGTTGGTTTAAACAAGTTAGCATTCCTCCAGTGGATCTTCTCCTGATCCACTTGGTTGGGACCATGAATCCTCTCTGCTCTGGTCTGGACCAGTGTAAAACCATGAATCCTCTCTGCTCTGGTCTGGACCAGTGTAAAACCATGAACCCTCTCTGCTCTGGTCTGGACCAGTGTAAAACCATGAATCCTCTCTGCTCTGGTCTGGACCAGTGTAAAACCATGAATCCTCTCTGCTCTGGTCTGGACCAGTGTAAAACCATGAATCCTCTCTGCTCTGGTCTGGACCAGTGTAAAACCATGAATCCTCTCTGCTCTGGTCTGGACCAGTGTAAAACCATGAATCCTCTCTGCTCTGGTCTGGACCAGTGTAAAACCATGAACACTGAACTGCAGCAACATCTCAGGCAGAAAAATCAAGACAAAATAAAGATTGTAAAACACAATAACAACAGTTTCAGAGACACTCAGGACTCGCTGCTGTTTCCAGAACATTCTAAAGTAAAGAACTTTTATTTCTGCAATATAAAACTGCAACAAACAAAAACATCCACAAATCTACATTTAGAATTTTCCTCCAGTCACAGTTGTTGGATTGTGATGATTGTGTTGCCACGCCCTCACAGTCTGCAGTGAAAGTGAACACACAACAGAGAGATGCACCTGCGGATGCACCAACATGTCACAGACGCACAACTGGTTCAGCAGGAAAGTCCTCACTTAGTGTCAGTGTCACACACACACACAGTAGATACACACACCATGGACTTTAACACACGCACACACACACTCACAGACACACATACACACACACCCACACACACACACAGACTCACACACACACACACACACACACACACACACACACATACACGTTTTTGTTACCTGGTGGGTCCCTTTGACAGGGCCGTTCAGAATGGGACCCATAGACATAATCTTTTTTTACTGGGACTACTTTAAGTAATACAAAACAGTCAATAGAAAACAAACAACTCTTTTAAAGGAATTTTATTTTAGATTTTTTTTTCGAATTGCAGTGATTCTATTTTTGACATAGAATTTAATGCCACTCCATGTCCGATGTCTAAGGTCATCTGGTGAGGCATTAATGCAGGCCAGGCCAGGCCAGGCCAGGCAGTGAGACTTCCCAGGGACCTTTCCAGTCTGTATGAAAGGTGTCATGGTCTTCTCCACAGCCTTCACCTCAGATGCAGACCATGGCTTTCTTACACGTTCTAGGGAGAGAAATAAAAATATATTAGCGATATACACTCCCAGGGTTAGGACCAAGCAGCCTGGCTGTAATCCCCCACCTGGTACACTTACCAGAAGGGGCACTGCCACTACCATGGGGTGCATCTGGATGAATGGTTGAAGGTTCTCCGCTTGAAGTTTCTTTTAGCCCGTCCGTTTGTGAGAGGATCTCTACTGCTCTCCCTGTCGCACAGAAAATAAAAATACAAGTGGCCTTTAGGGGAAAAAAATTATACATATTTTAATAATATCAAGAATTACCTTCAGGCTCAATTTGTATCTGGTCGAGGCTCTTTCCTTCGAATTCCGTCACTCTTCCCTGCTCCATGGCCATCAACACTTTGCTGATTTTGGCCAGCTCCAGTGTCCCCTCTGGTAGTCTGTAATATTGTCTGTGGATGCGAATGTCATGGCCGAGGAAGTTGGCAAGTATGTCCATCTCATTCTCTTTCATATTGAGAACTGTAGACATAGTAGCTATGTGCTTTCTAAGTTTGGTTGAGGATAGCATCTCTGGATGCACCGCACCACATTCTTTGGCTACCTGGCGTAGGGAGTCTGATCCCCTGATGTGGGTGTCTGCGCCCGGGCGGGAAAAGAAGTATGGGTTATGGTCGGAGATGGAACAGGCCCTTCTGTTCTCCACCAGCACCTCCATCGAAGCAATCATTTCAGGAGTCAAAAGAACCGGCACTTTCCCACTTCTTTTCCCTTTAATTTCAATGCGTTGAAAATGCTGACACAGCTTTTTCTCAAGTTGGGACAGTCCCAGAGCAATGTCAGAATGGATCCCAGTCTTACTTCTTAAGGTAAAGGCTGTCAGTGGCATCTTTGAAACCTCACCTTCCCTTCTTCGATTGAAAATAATGACCTCACAAAGAGTCAAAACTGCCAGTTTAGACCAATGCTTAGACGTTGGCTCACTTATTAGGGTTTGCACATATTCAGGTCGACATACCTCAATATGTGCATGCATGGCTCTAACGTCCTCAGTCAGAGGGAGCAGGTCCGGAGTGTTCCACTTGGCTTGCCGGAGGGTCTGTAGGGCAGCAGAAGAAACACAGACGTCCCACCTCTTCTCAAAAAGCAGCCGGCTTCGTTGGAGGTTTTTAATAAATAGTTCATCAACACAATGCTCCATTTTTGAGTCACATTCAAGAATATCTGCTAGCTTTCTGAGGCTATGGCCGAGTTTGAGGGCCAAGGATGGAGTCTTGTATTGATTTGTTTCCTCATCATATCCAGCCACAGACCTGACTGCATCAATCACATGGTTAAAGTTGGAAGGACTAAAGAAATCCTTAATTGTTTTCAGTTTCCCTGCGGTTTTTGCTTCGTTAATTAACCTACCGACTTCTCTCATTTTCTGCCTAATGTAATCATGCTTAGTCTTATCATGCCCGTGTTTTAAGTACAGGTGCTCTCCGAGTCTCAGAATCCCCTTTTCTGCTTTGACAACACCCGTGACCTCATCCTGATGCATTGCCCAAATTAAAGACCACAGCTTTTTGCTGATGCCCTCCGGTACAGGCTGGGCTAGGGAGCAGAGGGACTGGACCCTACTTCTACCTGGTTTAGCCTGGTTTAGCCTGGGCATCTTTCTGTGAAAGCCGGCACCTGGCCACATGCCTCCACAGCCACTTTCGCTTAAGCAATGCCCCACAGTCTATACAGTGCAAAAACTCACTGGATTTAACTGGGGAATTTGGCTGTTTAGCTGGGACTAAAGTTCCAATGCCGGCCTTTAAAACCTCAACATTGTGCTCACGGTTTCCACTATTCCTGATCAAATCAAACTGAAGTTTACGTGCTTTAGATTTCACAGGTAGAGCCAATGCTCTGGCTACGTCACTTTCATTTCCATGTTTTCTCGTCAAATGACGGGACATTTTGTGGCAGGACATTGAACAGTAGAGGCAGAAGTGTCTCTTGCTATAAACTCGCCCCCCATTTTTCTTCTTTTGCAGCTGCATGATAACACTCTTATTCAGTGATGGGCAGTAGCGTCGCTACAAGTAGCGTCGCTACTAGCTTAACTACATTTTTCAGTAGCTTGACAGTAGCGTCACTATTTACAAAACCTAGTAACTTTTCTGTAGCTAAGCTATATTATTGCTCAAGTAGCGCGGTAGCGTCCACCAAATCTATTTTCTCACGGACATCTCTGATGTTCATATATTACAGCATTTTCCCGCAGCATAAAACAAACATTTAGAAAGACAGAATGCTGATGCGCATGCGCAGGGCTTGGTAACGACACACACACACGAACGTACGCGCACGCACATACACACACGCACACACATGCGCGCGCGCTACTGGGGGAAGCAAAAGCATGGCAGAGAGCCCAGGAGCCGCCGCGGTGGAGGAGGACCATGATAAGGACTCTCAAAGTGTTGTACCGTGGCCATACCTCCAAAAGTACGTCACTCTAGTCGAGATGAGCGAAAAGAAA